CCGCGCCAGTCCGGTCCGATATTTAACTCGGCAGCCACGGCAGGTGGTGATTTTCTGGCCGGCCGGCCAGCGCGCGACCCAATAAACGGATCGTTCGCAGTTAAAAGCGCGCAATTTCACACAAGTTCTCGGAGAAACGTAAGGGAATATACGGAACGGTTTTTTCACCCGTGGAAGTGGATAAAATTTTCTTTTGTAAAATCAAATTTTTGTGAGAGTCGAGGAAAAAATAAGAACCATTTCTTACTTGTAAAAACGATAAGATATTTATGAAATAAATTTTTGAATAATAAAAGAATTTTATTTAGAAGCAATATTTTACATTTTTCCTACAAAAATTAAAAGACACATCAATTTATGATACCTTATAAATATTGCAAATGTTACTACTGGACTAATAGAAATGGACACATTTTTGACAAGGGTAAACAAGAAAATTTTAATAAGTTTTTTTAAAAAATCTTCTCAAAATGACATTGTCAAATTGATAATATCTTGTTTGAATTTTTATATAATTTAACAAGAACGTCAAAGATTTGTTAAAATAACTGATATTTTCTGACTGATATTTTCTATATTGTTAATTATATCTGTAAAAGTACGTATAAAAAAAAGAAATAGAGCATTTAAAAGAAGATCTGATATTCTAATTTTCGTTCGATCAAGAAACAAAATATGTTTATACACAATAAGCATTAAATCGATTTTCATTGATATTACATGTACAGTAAAATGTCACGGAGAATATTATACAGATAATATTCGGTACTTAAATTTCTACTATATAAGACTGCTGACGAAAATATCAGAGGTATTGAAAGTTCCAATTATATATTGCAAATTATTTTTAAAAATGTTACGGTTTCTTCTAATATAAGTAAAGTATCGACAAATCAATAAATATTTTATTTTCGGTTAGGGCAAACTAAAATTTGAACAGATTATAATTTCCGATATGTATTATTGCCGGTTATTTCGAGAGATACATGCCGTGATGATACACTATAACGTAAATTGTACAAATATGTTAATTTTTAATGAGTTTCAAGTTTTAAATAAAATACACATTATGTATATATAGTGTTAAAAGTAATCTACAATGTGGTATGTATTAAATTAAAGAAAAAATATTTAATCGCACAAACAGAACTGACCTTTCCGAAGAGAAATGATTTTCGGTTTTAGCGATACGGGCAATTTTAGCGGTACGGGCAATTTACTCGCTCCTATTTATCACACGCAGCGCGTAAACAAAGGATTATCTTGCTATAATTTTCCTCGAGTGTCTACAAGAGATATATCCTAAATATTCCCCTGCGATAATATCTTCTCAATCCTGAAATATCTTTCTATATATGTTTTACTTAAATACTACTTTTTACATGAACCCGATAAGGATATTTTATTTAAATATATAATTTAAATTACGAATTTTAATCTCGTTCTCTCTCTTCCCGTGTTAGAACGGATCAAGCCTGCTTTAAATATTACATATCACTGGATGGACGCAGATGTTCCGCTTTGCGCATTCAGTTCAAGAAGTCCTATATGCGTATACGGAAATACATAGGTACCATATACGTACAAGAAATCGATCTATCGATGACCCGCGGTTCTTCGACCGTTTTATGCCCGTTCCTACCAATATAAATTAACTTTAATCTTCGTTTTATTTACCGTTATCTTTTTCTAGTTCTAAGAATTAGAGACAAATAAAGAGTAAATTAAACCGAGATTAAAATTAATCTACATTGGTAGAAATGGACATTAGTCCCTTGCTTTCAGAGATAGGTAAGCGCAGCAACGGCGTCGACAAAGGCGACGATGTATTACGGTGTGATCTTAATTACCGTTTGAATAATGCACAATTGGAGTGTGTGTACACGTTTGATAGAATATATACCGGAAGCAATTAGAACGAACCGCCGCGAAAACGATCTTTATTCCCGTGCGATAGCTTTGCCGGAAATAATGAACCGACAACCTGGGAATGCGCTAAGGAGTAAACGAATCGCCGGTAAATCTTCCGTAAAGCCCGAATACGAGGCTTAATTCCAATGGAGATGTGAAAGGACACAAAATGAAACGGATAAACAAATAATTGCGCGCGCGTGTAAGTGATCGGTACATATGTATACATCGGTACGATCGGTACCCACAAAAAAATATCATTCCATTGTTCAGAAAAGTGATTACTTAATTTACTTTCTTCTTTTTAAGTAACGGTTATCTTTAAGAATATTTTCTTAATAATAATTTTAAAATATAGAAAAAGTGGTATTATGGCCAGTGTATATATCGTGGCCTCCCTTAATATCTCCGCTATTATATAGCGAATCCTAATGATTACTTATGAAATTATTTGTTCAGTAGCTCGTCGTTACACCATGACACTAATATATCAATACTCAATAGCCAGCACTTATTATAACGCATTTTTACTTTCAAGTATTTCAAAACGTTTCTGAGGTACATTTTAGCATTTAATGACACTTACTTCCTCACATTTTTCTTAAACTTGAGCGTATCATCACATGAATATATGTATTTTTGAGTGTGTTATTTGCTATTTAACATTTTATTTGACTGTATATATTTTGAGTTATGCAAATTTAAACAATAGCATGGCATCTTGCTAATGTGGCCCTCTATGGGTATTGATTACTCACGACCCCTTTTTGGAGGTTTTCATATCAAAATAATTATTTGATAATCGATTGCAACTCTACTGTTAATCTATACTTTATATCACGTGTACTATTTTTAATAGTACTGATATTTTTAGTACTGAACAGTTTATATGTAGAAGTTACGTGATTGTATATTATACATTTGTAATATACATTTGCATACATTTTAAAATGTTTTACTTTTTTGTTAATTTTGTAACCAAATACTATTTTTTAAACATAATTAATATTTTAAGGTTTTTTTTTGGAAGCTAGCTAGCTTTTTTTTCTTCGAGTCATTGTGTAATGTCGCTATATTTTTATTTATAGCATCCTAAATAATAAATATTTCGTAACTTTGAGTCAAGAATCGATTCAACAACATTTTAGCGAATGTAATTGTCAAGTTTTAAACTTAAATATTTATTATTAACAAAGTTATTGTGTACTTAAATGTAACTGGGAGTGCCATAATAGATAATACCACCTTCTCCTCTACTTATTACAAATTTTAGAAAAGTTTATTATGTATTTAAAACGCAAATTTATTTTGTAGATCATTATAAAATTGATCGAAGAAGTGACATTACATAATAAAGTAAATTGAATTAATTTGTTTGATTTAATTTGATCTTGATTGAAGTATTAAACTTACTGGAATTCAGAATATACTTTGAATAAATTTGATGCTTGTGGTGAACTTATAATAGGTTGCGGATCTATAAACTTTTGAAATATTTGAAACAAGTAATTATTACTTGCGTACTTTTCTGTGTGTATATTTGCGATCTTTGTTATCTCACGACGCATATTTTCTGAGCAATTGTTTTACTACTTTTCGTACGTTAACCTCTTAATAGAGCACGTACGAAAGCAACTTAATGAACTATGCACGAAGTAAGGCATATAATTGGTCTCAGTGCTCCGAACGTTGCGTGAAGTATAGTTGTGCGTGTTAGAAGTTACTTTCGTAATTGCATATATGAAAGGTGAAAAGCGGATATTTTTATGTATTATTACGATAATTACGATATAAGTCGCGATCTTAATAAACAAATTTAAGATCACGCTCAACAAGCACAAATTATTCTGTTTAATAATAGCTTGAGTTATTATTTTCCATCCCGTGCATTCTTTGATTTATCCAAGGGAAACGATTATAAAATCGATATTTAAGTCGGCAAGTTATTGGCAGGCAATAACTCATAAATAAAATATTCGTCAAAATAAGCGTTAACGCGCGAAATGTAAACGTTGAGCGCGTTCAAACTAGTCGCGCCTTTCGATGCTCGATTCTCGCTAGCGGTCACGTGACCTCCCTCATTCGAGTCGCGTCGTTTCTTGCGTACCGTCCTTACTGCTTCTTTCATGTCGCCAAACATTCAAATGCGAGATGTGATCCGACGTAAAGAAACAGTACAATTAAAAATGAATACGTTAAAATCGGAATATTCTAATAATAATATCGTATAATAATATTGCATAATAATATCGCACCCTAAAATTTTAATTTTATAACCGGATAGATATCAATTAAAAAATATGATGTAATTTTACGAATATTTCTCAAAATGAATTTAATTTTTGAAGTCGCAGTTGCAGAAGAGAATATACCTTACGTCATTTGGCGCGTTTCCATTGACGCGGCCAAACGTAGAAATCATTTAAGCAGTCGCCGAATATTAAATTGCAAATTGGAGCGTCGATAGGAAGCTCTGTAAATTTCGGACGAACGTCGCGGTCCGAATGCTGAAGGATGGATTTGTCATAAAGCGAGAAAGAGCGTGACGGCGCGGCGGACGGCGCGACGGCAGCCGTATTTCAACACGGCGTACTCCGCCTTGGTAGTCCAGGTTCTCTGTTTGACAAGTACGCGCGTATTTTGCGGCCGCGTCCGAGCGCGTCCGACATCGGCCGATGTCGGCCGAAGAGCCAGCGGGCCGAAAGACTGCGAGCGCGGAGAGCAACACGGCGGCTGCGGTGGCCGTGTTCATGGTGTTCATGCGCGTAGCAGAGCTAGTGATACTGTGCGTATTTGTTGTGTGTGTGTGTATGTGTGTGTGCGCGCTCGCGCGCGCGCACGTATATCGGAGAGCGTACGTTGGTGGTGTATAGTAGTGTTAACGCGAGAGAGTCGGTGCGCCTCTCGGCCGTGGGCACAAATCGCGAGTAAAATGGAAGCGGAATTTCGCTGCGAGGTTGAGGTTCGTCGTTGAAAACAGGTGAACATGGGAAGGTCCAAGTTTCCCGGGAAGCCGCCGAAGACGGCCACCAGGAAACGGATCAAGGTGCTGGGCCAGCCTGAGGCAGCGCAGAACGATCCGGTAACTGTCGCCGAAAACATCTACTACGGACTTTCCCTGTTCAACGAAACATTCGGCGACAACGAGAAGGTGAGGGGGAAAAAAGATCGTCGCGTTGAGTCGTCCGCCGTCGCTGTCCGCCTTCGCCGTCGCCGTCGCTTTCGTCGTCGGCGTCACCGTACCGTCATCGTCCACCGTTGCCGTCGTTATCGTAGCCGCTACCATGTCGCCGTTGCTCGAGGTCGCGGGAGATCGTCGAGCGTCGCGTCGCGCGTCGCACCGCGTCTCGCCGCTCGCGCGTATTCTCCGGCAAGCGTCACGAGGACACGCACTCGGTGGACTTGGCGATACGCGGCCCGACGACGAACTTTGGCGCGACGTAGCGCGCGGGTTAACCTATCGGCGGTGATCAACCGCGGTGATTGTCGAACGGCAGGTGCGCGACGCGTTCGCGGCCTTTACTTGCCGTTCAGTGATTCGTTTCTCAATTTACCATTACCTCCCCTTCCGTATGTCGATCGAGTTATAGAGATTTCTATACATTTTGTCCTGGCTGCTTTTGGTACGGAGTATGTCAGTGAGATATGCCTTCTGCAATTCTTGCTCCGTAACTTCTTATCAGCTGGGAAGAATGTTGGATTGTCAGTTTTTTTTTTTGTGAATAAAACTTTGCAGAAAGCAGGTTGTCGTGTAGACAAAGTAAATTTATTAGTCATTTGTTTACTTTCATGGTTTGACAAGTAGTTTGTTCACTGTACAACATACATACATACATACATGCACATACAAAATATACACGCTTAGATATAGTTATACTACGATAGATTCTAATTGTCAAATAGTTTGTTATTTCTAATACTCATCTAGGTGATTTTTCTTTAGGAACATCCACCATTTCACGGATTTAGCACTAAAGAGGCTAATCTTTCTGCATCTTATATAAAAACGCAGCAACATGATGCAGAGAAGACAAGCGATAGATTGCCATCTGTCACAGTCGAAAATCTTGCACCACAGTCCAGCACGAAGAAGGATGTTATTGATGTTAAAAATTCTCCTACAGACATCGAAAACAGCACAGAAAAGTTTACCAATTCAAATCCAAAACCAGTTAAAGACGTCACCCGGTTACAACCAGTTACAAATCCGAATACTAAGCATTCAAAGATTCACCGAGCAAAAAGTCGTAAGAATTGCAAGAACATTAAATTTTCGAATTATTTGAAAAACCCGGTGCTAAAATCAGTGAACAACATCTTAGATCAGCATCAAAGAACCAGACAGTTACGCAACAGTACTGCAAAAAGATTGCTTCAAAGGGCGAAATCTGGAAATAATACACGTAATTTGGTAGTGCAATCAGGAGAGAAGCCTAGCACGGTGAGAAAATTTGTTTTACCCGTTCGCAGCGTGCATTCATCAAGGGTTATAAAACCAAATAAAAGATTTATCGAGGAATTGGAAGAAATTTCTACTACGGAGTATAGCGAGAATGAAATTGGTGTACACGTAAAAAAGACTAAATTAAATTCAGATAAGCTTAGCAACTTGGAATCAAAATTGAAAGGGGATACTGTTAGTAAGTTGTGTACAAAATTTAAAGAGGCAAGAAGCAAGCCAAAAAGGGTGATTCAGAGTGTAGACTCCAATGCTGAGATAACTCAATCAGTAAAAAATATAGAGAAATCAGCGAATTCTGTACAAAACACACAAATATCAAAACCAGCTCATAGAGAAGTAAAGAAACCTCATACTATATCATGTAAAAATAAAGTATCAAACAGCACATCTGACAATTCTAATAGTAATCAAGAATGCTCACAAAACTCGAGCAGAACGACACAAACTGTGAAATCAACAATTTCCAGAAATCAGAAACAGATTTCTATTCCTACAAAAGTTCTTCCCGATTCCAATGTTCCACACTTCGAGTCTTCCAGAGTTCAGACGAGATCAGGAACTCAAAATGAAATAGCGAGCGATTTAATTAATAATCAGGTAAGCTTTGACAGTGGTGCAGGATTGACAGAAGGTGGCTGTGCAGAAACTGAGAATCAGCTTGGACATGGTAATAAAACTGCGGTTAGTACATTCAACAGTTTTGAGACGGAAAACAATTTATCTGAAAGCGAAAGCGAGCACAGCAATCACTCGGAAGGCGAGCCATCCGATTTCAGCGGAATGAAACTCCATGGCGGGAAAGTTATATTAAGAAAAGCAAGATTAAAGTTGGATAATAAATGTCTAGCTGGAACAGAAGGACCATTTTCAACAACGAGTACCAGTAACACTATGGGAGGAAGCACTAATTTAGGTATATATTTTACACTTTATAGCAATTTTGTAACTATTTGTTACACATGTACTTTCAATAAACTGTCCTATTTCTAAATATGATTATTTTTCGTTTTAGGATTAACAGGTACTATAAAATGTGGTGTTTGCGGAGCAGTGCGATTTTATCGATTCGTGAAACAGGCACGCAAATTTGGTATTCACAGTTGCGAATCTTGTCGAAAGTTTATAAGCAAAATGATCAAACGTCAGGCTTGTGCTAAATCCTCAAATAATGTTCTTCCCATTCTTCAGTGTCATAAAGGGGACGGTTTGTGTTTAGTTCCACCTGTTGTGAGGAGTCAACAATGGAATCTCATGAGATGCGTTTATAAAGCCAGATGCCCGGCGTGTTGGTTAAAAATGTGTTTGAAATGTTATAACATTCCATCTCCTTTGAGAACAGGTTTAAACGCATTGTTACCACCATTAATGAGAGACCCTTTAAGTATTTCTCTGCCACTTGGTCAAGACGAGGATGGTCAAGGACAAAAGTTGTGCTCGTCTAAACTCAGTTGGCCTGCGGAAGATAGCTCGGAAAGAAATTTATTTAAGTCTGCTATGAGTTGGAGAAATTTTGAAATGGGACATAAGACGAGTTATCAGGGTACTGGAGGTTTTCTCTATACAAAAATAGATAAATGTAAGACAAGTTATTTTATAAATGCTTTTTTGAACTCGCGTTGTTTATTTGTACTTACGACATGTTTTATTACAGTTGATTCTTCGATGAGTATATCGCCTAATAAAAAACGAAGGAAAAATAACAGGATTAAGGTAAGGAAGAAAATTAAAAATCCAGTGGTTGCTTCTTCGTCTGGCAGCCAACATTCGCAATCTCTTAGACAGAGACTTGAGTTGAAAGGACCGAGAGTTAAGCATGTTTGTCGAAGCGCCAGTGTCGCACTTGGACAACCCATTGCAACTTTTCCTACTGTAGACGCGAAAGAAGACAACGAACATGGCAAAAACATTCCAAAGACAGTGAAAGAAATTGAAAGAATAGAAAAGAGAGATGATATTATAAAAGAAAAGGAAATACAAAAGCACAATGAAGATAATAATTTAAATCTCAGCGTTCACACGGTACAACAGTCTCATTCGAGAAGAGGAAAACCGCAACAGAGTGTGTCAACGTTGCATTTTCCAGGGGTAAGATATCTTTCAGGCATAATCGAAGGAAGTGACCTAAGTATACGCCATATCAATATTTATTTTGTCAATGACATATTGGATGAGAGATTCTATTTTGCTTGTATGACATTTACATATAAGTTACTTTTTGTATATTTGTAAGTTGGTATTCCGTTTATTTGATTAAATATAAAACTTGCTACAAACTTAAATTCAGTTCATAAATTAATGTGATATAAAGTAGAAAGTAAAGTGATGTGAATAATATATTTGTCGTAGGTGTCTAAGGCAGCTGTGGATACTGTATATACAGTTTCCATAGATTTCTGGGAGCAATACGATCCTTCCGAGGTCGGAGCTAAGGGTTTCGCTCTTATCGGTTCTGAGCTATTTCATATACCTGCTATTTGTTATCTGTGCGGAAGCGCTGGTAAAGAGCCGGTAAGTAACGTATGAAATATCAGTTATAGAAGGATAACAAGTGTACATGTAATAGTAATACGCCTTCTCTTCGAGAACTATCAACAATCCTTCTTTACAGTTGATCCACTGTCAATGCTGTTGCGAGCCATACCATGCCTTCTGTTTGGAACCCAGTGAATGGAATGCTTGTGCACAGCCAAACTGGTGTTGTCCCCGGTGTACGATATGTCAGTCCTGCCATCTCAGATCCGGTCCGAAATTATCCTGCATTCGTTGTCGTCAGTCGTTTCACCATTCATGTTTGTCAAAGTCCGGTGTTAGCTCCAGATTGTACAGTCCCGATCGACCTTATGTTTGTCAGAGCTGTATTAAATGTAAAAGCTGTGGTAGCGAGGGCGTTAACGTTCACGTTGGTAACTTACCTCTCTGCTCTATGTGCTTTAAGTTAAGACAACAAGGAAACTATTGTCCTTTGTGTCAGAGATGTTATAACGAGAACGATTTTGACACAAAGGTGAGTATATACACGTAATCTTGATATAAAATAAGTTCACAATCGTAAAATTTGTTTCATATTTGCAATTTATATTATGATCGCACACGTTCTTTTAGATGATGGAATGTAGCGAGTGTTCCTGCTGGGTACATGCCCGTTGTGAAGGCCTTTCCGATGAGCGTTACCAGATACTTAGTTACCTGCCTGATTCGATTGAATTCACATGTAGCCAATGCTCTTCCAATTCGAGTTCCTCTATCTGGAGGAATGCCATAGAAGCGGAACTGAAGGCGGGTTTCATCGGGGTGATAAAATCTCTGAGTAAAAACCGCAAGATTTGCACGGCTCTCAAGTGGAGTCCCAGAAAGGAGTGCCTTTGCAGGCCCGTTTCGAGTGTGAGAAAACTTGAATTTCCTGAAGAAGACAAAAACGAAACGAACTGTATGAAAGATGCCAATTATAGGGATGGTACGAATAAGCCTGATTTAGAAGAACATTCAATAGACGGTCCCGTTAGAAAAGGTCTGCGACGACTACGACAGAAATTCCATCTAAAAGAATGCTCGGTTAGGGTGAAAAACTGCCTTCCGAAGGATAATCTCTCTCAAGATAATGAGAGAAAAGACTGGTCAAATCAAGATTCGTCAGTTTCTTCAACCGATGTCACGGAATGCCACTGTTCCGAGCAGCAAATCATCGCAAGGCCCTCGCCCACTTTAATGTCTGTAAAACGTAAGGTAAACAGTAACGAGTACAAATCGTTATTACAATTTCATTGTGATATGATGCACGTAATCAACCGTGTCGATTCAAGAGATCTGATAGAAACGTATCATGATATTCTACAAGAGGTTTTTCCATGGTTTACTCCGAAGAATTTTAAGAGCAGCGACGACAACGATGATACGTTAACGGCTACTAAAGACGTTGGCGAAGACATTGCTCTGACAACAAAGTTTGACGATCCTATTCTGGAGGCGTGGAAGGAGGAAGTGATGAAAGCACCGAAAGCAATCGCAGCAAAAACAGCGAATTTATATAATATTCACGTCGAGGACAGCAGATCGTGTTGTTTATGCAAGGGTTTGGGCGATGGGCACGAGACAAAAGAGGGAAGGTTATTGTATTGTGGGCAGAATGAATGGGTACACGCGAATTGCGCGCTATGGTCAAACGAGGTGTTTGAGGAAATTGATGGCTCACTGCAGAATGTTCACAGTGCCATTTCGAGGGGTCGTTTGATTCGCTGCTCCGAGTGCGGTAAGAAGGGCGCGAGCATCGGATGTTGCGCGAAGAATTGCAGCAATACTTTTCATTTTCCATGCGCGAGGAACGTCGGACTCGCTTTCAACGACGACAAAACTGTATTTTGCATCTCACATTCGAATACGAGTCACGTCTGTAAGTCTCTGCAGAACGAGAATGAGTTTAGTTTGAAACGACCTGTGTATGTGGAGTTGGATCGAAAGAAAAAGAAATTTGCCGAGCCCAACAAAGTTAAGTTAATGATAGGTTCTTTGATGGTTGACTGTTTGGGCACCGTCATTCCGGAATTCTCTGATACAGCTGAGAAGATAATACCATGCGATTACAAATGTTCTAGACTTTACTGGTCCACAGTGAATCCTTACAAGATCGTGAGATATTACATTAGAACTTATGTGCAGGTACATATGCCGGACGTCTCGTCCGACATGGAGAATAACATCACCATCGATCATAGCAAGGAGCAGGAAAAAGATGAAGTACCGACAGACGGTACATATTTGGTCGTCAAACAAACTCTAGATGCACTCATCGATTTCGTGTGTAACAAAGAAGTTGATGAGAATTTAGCGGAGCAGAACAATACAGATCTTTTACCGCCGGAATTGAAGGAGGCTATATTTGAGGATTTGCCACACGACCTGTTAGACGGAATTTCCATGCAAGACATTTTTCCAAAGATGTCGTACGAGGATTTTTTAGCCATGGATTTAAAGAATGATGGCTCTTTCAGCACGGATTTATTTAAGGATGATATGTTGTCATCAGAAGTCGAAGAGACGATAAAACCGTCGGAAAGCAAGATCTCCAAAATAGATTCATCTCTATTGGAATTAGGAGCGCACAATGACCTCTGGGTACGGTTGGAAGCAAAGACTGCGATGCAGGACCTCATGGATGACTTATTTAATTCAAAAAGCCAGAAACGTGGCGGTAGAGAACTGAAACGATCCAAATCAGAGGTGATGTCGAACAATCCGCTGATCGTCGGCGGTCAGAGGCATCATCAGCGTTCCTGTAGTCTCACATGGAGCTGCAAGCTAGACAACACTTACGGTTCTAACATAAAAAGACGAAAGTTGCCTCGAAATCCATCCAGTACCAAGTCCAGTGAAACTGGTCTTATTGTTCTTGATGCACAAAACGAACGCACGTCGATGTTTCATGAATTGAGAATCCCGGAGAGTATTATGGTCACTGTGGGAAGAGGAAACACGCCTAACATACTATCCGATTCCGTGCGCGAGTTAAAGTACTGTATTGAGGACTCTGCTGGATTAAATCGCCGCGTGTTGCCAGCCAGGGACGACGTGAAAGAACACAAGAGACTGCTCTGGCATCCAAGACAACAGCAACCGCGAATAGTGCAGGTCGACGGGTCGGTTGACGCTAATAGTGCCAGCGAGTGCAGTTCACCAGAATACAATGCCGAGGAGAAAAGCACGAGTCTTCAAACGTCCGAATCATTATCGATCCCGCAATTAGACGGCATTAACGATGAGCACTCGTCTGACGCGAGCGAGCCAAGCTCGGAAATGGAACTTGGCTTATACACGCGGCCTTTAAATCTTTTACATTCGAAGCGTATCTTTGGTTTCATCAGATCACATGTGTCAAGTAACTGTGATAAAAAAATGAAGAATGGCAATAGCAACCTCATAACCGCACCTATCATTAGGTGTACCTCGCACAAGGCGGAAGTCTTGTTCAAGGAGAAGAATCTCAAAGTGAATCTGCAGATCCCACAGGTGGATGGTGCAGGCGATATCTCGAGCGACGACGAGTGCGTCTCGTCGCAACATATGATAGCGCATGAAAGGTTACTTCATGCCTCATACGAGTCGTCGCCGTTCGAGGATATCGACGTCACTTGCAAGAGGTGTGGCCTCACGTATCGCAACGAAGAGAGTTACAATCGTCATCTGGACAACTGCGATACTATGATCACCAGTGATAGCGACTCGGAGACCATGGACAACAAGCTGGCGTCGCCAGAGTCGGGGTTTTCCCCAAATATGGGTTCCGTGTCATCGCAATTTATCACGCTTTCACCATCCGAGGGCCACACTCTAACAACCGATTACACGGACATTCAAGCGACATCACCCATCGAGGCATCCGTGGCGTCACCCCATCCGAGTATGATTGAACCGATCGCCCAAGCGATCATCACGCCGCAAATTCATGCGACACACGCCACCGTCGAGACCGTACACCAGACAGTATTAACGTCCAACGACGTGATCGTACAGACTCAATACACCCGTAGAACCACCACTCTGCCGAACCCAGCAGTATTACCTCCTCAGGAAAGCACAGTGCAGATAACGGAGATCACAGATCCACCGTCCATCTCCAGCGACTCTAACGTTACGGCGCATGGTATCGTGAACACGCCGATGAATTCGCCGGACAGCACGAGCTCGCAGACCGTCCCAAGCCCGGAAATGTCGCCTAGTTTTTCGTCCATGGGCGTACAAACCGCGCAAGAGTCTATGCAAACGAACGCACAGATCACCCGAACCTCTTCCAAGAAGAATTTACGGGTAGCCAAGCCTAAGATCAAGAACATCAAGCCGCAGCAACATGTTCTGAAGAACGTGATGCAGTCGTCGCAAAATGTCGCGCACAATGTCAAATTTCAACCGACAGCGATGTCGAACGGTCCACCGGTAATCCAGCTACATCAGACTACCCCGAGACCGCCCACAGTGATCCTTCAGCAAGTGGCATCACCGGGCATCGTGTCCGCTTATGTGGAAGCACTGCAGCAACAATCCGGTCAAAATTTACAATACATCACGACGATAGGTGACGGGCAACACGAGACCGGTTTCAAGCCGCAGCTGATCACTGCAAATTCCTTGGTGCCAGGCACCTATATACAGGCACCGTCCACCGACAATCTGCTGCTACAAAACGGTGGTATATCGATATTGCCGAGCGTGCAGATTGCGCAGACACAGCCTACTGTATTAGGTACCATCATACAGCAACAACCCAATGCGATCCAATGTGGTGTTATATCGTCGGAGCAATTGCTGTTGAGCTCTACGCCTACTTTGGAAATGTTCACCGATCCAACTGGCGGTATGTTCGTATCGAATCAACCAATGTACTATGGTCTGGAGACAATCGTAAGCAATACCGTGATGTCGTCTAGCCAATTCATGGCGGGCACCGTGCCACAAGTATTGGCCAGCAGTTACCAAACAACAACACAGGTGTTTCAAGCGTCTAAGCTGATGGAGCCTATCGTGGATGTACAAGCTATGCCGGGCGTACCTACTGTAACAACGATGCAGAATGTATCGAGCATGCCGAACATATCTGGTATGCCCAACATAGCTGGCGTACCTAACATAGCGAGTATGCAGAATGTGAGTGGCATGTCCAACATGTCCGGAGTGCCTTATGTAGTGGTGAATCAATCGGCGCCGCCGCTACCACCAGCAGCAGCTCCGGTACCATCACCAGCACCAACATTGGCGTCGGCACCGATGCCAGCATCGGCATCAATACCAGCACCAGTGTCAATACCAACACCAGTGTCAATACCAACACCAGTATCAATACCGACACCAATATCAATACCAACACCAGTATCAATGCCAGCACCAATATCAATATCAGCATCAACGCTAGCAGTGGAACCAATTGTAACGCCACCACAAATCAACATTTCCGCCACATCTCAGGACCGAGCTTACGGTGGCATCGCGTGTAACGTCGTGGCACCAGTACCGTGTCAAAATGCAACCATAGAGCATCCAATGGCATCGATTCAAGTAGCAGATGTGTGCTCATCGAACGCGACGTCGATAAGCGTAATGACGCCGACAAAAACCATCAACACCTCCATCGCCGTTACCGCCGCCACCATCATCGGTACTACCACCTCATGCAATGCCAACGATACCTCGTGTCGCTGTGAGACCCAGTCCAGTCACGCATTCGGTTCAGGCGAATCATGGAACTGCTTGGAAGATCACTGAGCCGTTGTTCGGCGCGGAGCAACCGATGAGCAACAGTGTGCGACCATACTTCGATTCGAAACACGTATCGGAGAACACTAGCATGATCAAATCTAGCATATCATCTAAGATACCACCTCTATCGAATCATTATGTTACGCAACGGAATCTAGTTTTAAATCATAAGTCAAATCACGATGTAAATAGCGTACATAAAAGCTATAGTAGCGGTACCGCGTTGAATCCGAACTCTGTTGTGAACGCAGGCATCAATAATAGCCCAATCGTCGTCTCCAATTCCAACTCCGTACAGAATAAAATTACGATGCCGACGAATAACATGCCGACTAGTAGACCGATGAACAGGGTGCTGCCAATGCAGGCGGTGACGCTTAAGCAAGATCCGGCAAAGAAAGACGATTTGGCGATCGAAGAGCCGACGAAACCGGTAATCAAGCCAGCCGAACCGGAAATTGTAGAGTCAAAGAAGGAAATCATAGAGCAGATCGTGCAAATAAAAAAACCTGAAACCACACTCAGCAATATCACCGACAATATCAAGCTGAATACAGAAACTATAGAGAAGGTAAAGGAGAATTTCAAACTGGAACTTGATAAGGAGAAGCTACAAAACACATCGTTGAAGATAGTGCTGCAGAAACAGTTACAGGACGGTTCTTACAAGATCACGCGCAACATGAAGGCAGTCACTCAGAGCAAAAAAACACCGCAAGTAACATCTGTGGAGATATTACCATCAAAACAGGTACCTCAGATTGCGTCATTACAACTGTTGCCGATCAAAACGTTTACGCTCAAAGCAAACAAGCTCGAGGACAAGGTGAAGCCTATGGACGCGAAAGTGAACATACTTAAGGCAAAAGCGCCGCCCGTAGCTGTCAAGAAACCGAGAATAGTGACGAAATCAATTAGACCGCTGCGAAACAATCCGCACCAGAATCCGCCGCAAATGCACAACTGTTCGAAGGGACCCATCTTAATGTATGAGATCAAGTCGCAAGATGGCTTTACCCACACTGCCTCGTCTATGACCGAGGTTTGGGAGACGGTGTATCAGGCGGTGCAGAATGCGCGCAAAATTCATAACTTGTCTCCTCTACCTCACAATCCGTTGTCCGAGGGTCTCGGTTTGGAGAATAATGCGGCTATCTATCTGATCGAACAATTGCCGGGCGTCAACAGATGTAGCAAGTATAAGCCCAAATTCCATACGTTGGAGCCGCCAAAACCCGACGAGATGGAAAACGAATTGCCGGCAGCGTGTGCCAACGGAGCGGCACGAGCAGAGCCTTTTAAAGGCAGGAAAGTACACGACATGTTTAGCTGGTTGGCGTCGCAGCATAGACCGCATCCTAATATAATTACAATATCGGAAACAGAGTCTAGGTAAAATTCACCACCACGCTTGTACAATGTAAAAACAAAATTGCATGCATTTTATAATTGTTTCTTGTGAATAATTTATAATTTCTGATATTTGATTATCAATGAGTTTTAACGTTTTCAATTTAATGATCTTGTGCATCATCGGTGTGATGTATTTACATTTTTTATTTTAATAATCACATTTTTTTATATACGTTATATATTGAGTATAAGTTATACTTCTTTAGACTATAAATAGAATCTGTAATATGAAAAATAAACAAGTGTTATTATTAATAATTTAATAAAACGTTGTGATGAATAATGTTACAGGCGAGCCGTGAGTACCAATTTGCCTATGGCAATGCGCTTTAGAATACTTAAGGAAACATCAAAAGCATCTGTTGGTGTGTATTATTCCCATATACATGGTAGAGGACTGTTTTGTTTGAGAGATATCGAGCCTGGTGAGATGGTCATCGAATACGCCGGTGAAGTAAGTAGCAAACTATTCATATTCACATATTAAAAGATCATGTCACGATACTTGTAATCGATATCGCTATTATTATTATTATTATTATAATCATTAAAATTATTGATTATCATTAGGTTATTCGATCTTCCTTGACCGACAAAAGAGAAAAGTATTATGACAGCAAGAATATAGGCTGTTATATGTTTAAAATCGACGATCATCTAGTTGTTGATGCTACTATGAAGGGAAATGCAGCTAGATTTATCAATCATTCATGCGAGGTACAGGAGATTTCTTTTCTTTATTAAAAAAAAACAAAAATTTACCTAATACTACAAATTGACAAAAGCTTTTATTATTATCTAATAACATTGCTCTATTTGTATATAAATGTTTTTAAATATATAAAAATCTAATTATTTTAAATTGCACTTTCTATAATTTGATTATGTAATATATATAATTAAACATTACGTTAATATTATTATAATCATCACATTAAAATTTTTGATAAATATGTATTATATGAAAATATGTATGTTATAGCCAAATTGCTACTCGCGAGTGGTGGACATACTAGGTAAGAAACACATACTGATTTTTGCTCTTCGTCGCATCATTCAAGGGGAGGAGTTGACATATGACTACAAATTTCCATTCGAGGATATCAAGATCCCGTGTACTTGCGGTTCTCGCAAATGTCGCAAATACCTCAACTGAGACTGCGTATATACAGCTTATCTTAAGCAGCCGACCGAAGACAAAGAAATAAAATATGTGCTATAATTGCGCGCGCGCTTTCGAATAGGATTCGTTTTATTGAATGTTATTCATTTTACTCATCATCAAACTATTTTCAGAGATTGCAGCTTTTTATTACTATAAAAGAACATAGATTATACATTTTAAATATTAGAAGGCCAGACGTAATACGCGAAGCACAGCGGTTACGACGATGTTACTTTAGACAGCTACGTTCCTGTAGTTGATTTAACGGGGGGTATATTTACACATATACCTATAGCAATAAACCATTCGAGTATATCCTGCTTTTGTATCCGACAAAGTCGTGCGTTTTACTAACGCGCTTCAGACTTGTGAAAGTGTTATTTTATTCACGCCTGTGCTTTCTCGCACGACTTTTAGACTCTACGTATTATCTACTGTTGAGGCTTAAGTGTACAAGTTATCTTACACTTTACACTAAATGCGAGAGCTCCTTAGTTCGCATAATTTTTGCATGATCTGGATCTCTCGATGCTTTGATCGGATTTGAAAATAAACTCTCCCTTAGACGAATGTCATCATAAGGATGAAAATGGAAAATGGAAAATAATGCCGCAAGAATACTACGAGAAAGTATAATAGCGGATTTTCGATAATGATCGTAGCTTTCTGAAAGCCACTTATATTTCTTTCAAATATCACAAGATAAAAATAACGCAAGCATAGTGTATAAAAGATCTTGTCAAGCACGTGAACATGAAATACGCGACAATTGTATATTTAGATGATTTGTAAATTTTAAATTTAGTGTACAGTGTATGACTAACTTCGTGACATTTCATGTCTACTGTAGGGCCAGATTTCAAATGTTTTTGTAAAATATGTAATTGTTAGACTAGATATATCGTCTTTGATGTAAGTACAGCAAATCAGTTTTAACTTAAGTTAGGAATGTAGGTATTAAGGAGAGAGATAGAGAATGGCAAGCGAGAACAGTCTCCTACAGCAGGATATTGTTCGAAGGTGTACCTACTTTGGCAGACATTGATACGATTTTATGTTTTATTATACACATGGCATCATTGACTAGAGAATATTTGCTTTCCAGAACAAGCTATTTATTCAGTGTAAAAATGAATGGCGCGAGTTCGATATTATTTGCCCTCTTTTCCTTTTTGTATATTTTTTTAAAATATCGCGTCTATATTTGTGCTTCCACCTTGCCAAGATCATATTCATCGAGTTTATTATCCGAATTTTATTATCTGAATGATACGAGACATGACATTTTATTTGGCGAGTATTGAATAGAAGCGTTAACAGTTTTAATAATTCTTTTAAAAGAATTTTTTTAATCGAAAAATCGGTTTGTTCGTCGATCGAATCGACGAAGATTTATGCATTGTTTGGGATAAACGTCTCCGGATACGTTTCTCCGGCGAACGTTTGTGATATTTTCCTATAATAGGAAATATATTAGAGATGCTTTTATAGGAATATATATTTTACATTTTTACGGATATATATATACCATATATTCCGTACCAATACCCTTCTGTGAAGTCCAGTTTTGCCTTACTTTTACATGTACCTACGCTTTCACCCGGTGATAGATTTAGATATATATATTTACGCAAATGATATTTTATATTCGAAACTAACACAACCGCAACGGCGCGTGGCACAGCGCCCTCCGATACAATTACATCGTATTTTAGCGCGATTAATCAATTTCTGCCGAGGTGGTAGTCCCTTAAATTTTGGTGCTCCATGGACACCGTTAAGTGCACTTTTCATGAAAAAATGGCCTAGAGTAAGAGATAGTAAGGTTGCAGTGCGGAAGTGTTTGATAATAATAAGAAATGCGTTATACGAAGAATATTGATCGTGAATTATTTAAAGAGATAATATAAAGGGGTGAAATGGTGGCACACACATAGGAGCGCATTATTTGAGCACACGAATAATGTCAGACGTGCTGCGATTTTAATCGGCCTGGTTTGGTACAAAGCGCGTATGCTGAGTTGTAAAAAGTTATAAAATCGCGGGAAAACGGAAACCTGTTCTGGTCACGTGAAATTGCCATCTTTTAGATATTTTGTGAATCTTTTTTTTAATATTATAATTATCGATAATTAATGACTATTATATTCGAGGAGATGAATATTGTTAATATAATGATAATTAATTTTAATCTGTACATGAAAAGTAATACGACTAGTAAGGATGGTAACTTACTTGAAAATATAACAATGTTAGATATTTTATTGATATTTATTGATTATAAACGATATGGTATTAGGGTTGACGAAAAAGTACTAATGTAAACTGAACGATTTAGGACCGGTGCACATATATGGTAGTCACATTGATTAACGCGGATACAAGGATCAAATCCTTTTTTTTTTATTCTAACAAACGAGCAATCGTGTATCTTTAATTCGATTACAGCCTCCTGATTGTTACGCTAGAATAATCGGACGTCAGAATTCATTTGGGCTTTACAAGGTGTATTCTCTGTAGGCATACATATATCAACTCGATTTTTACATCGCTCTGTATTATGATTGTAAGCTGTAAGCATCCATCATTGTCCGATTTCATTTATACAATCGCGAATAGGTTTAAATTTCTCAGTACATCGTTCCCTTTTCATTATTTGTATCACCGACTTCTGTAAAGTACCCACGCGAGTACTTCAGCAAAAAGTATCGAACAGTTTGGACGTATGCTTGTAGCGTAAGATGAAAAGCGTATGTGTGAAAGAGAGTGTGTGTGTGAGAGAGAGAGAGATTTACTTGTCTGCTAATAATCCTTACCTGATGAATTCGGACGAATATCTATCAGGTGCTTTCTGGAACATACTCTGTGTCTTTTTAAACTACTCTTTAAACTGCGTAAAAAGGGTGTACGACCCTCCTTAGTATTACGCATACAGCCTTCATTATTATTATTATTATTATTATCATCATCGCTATTAATTATAATCTATACACACACAAAAAACGAGAAAGAGAAAGCATAATACATCACTACTCAAGTCACTCGTATTTGGGCATATTAAGCACCGTTTGTTTACTACACCCATCAGCACCTTTCAAAAGTAACGCTGCGTGTAAAAAAAAGAACATCCGAAGAAACGGTACGATGAATAAACTGTTTAAGTAGTTTACCAATAATTAAAGGAAAAAAAATGATACTAATGTATAGATGTAATAGGTAGATTGTTTCTCTCCGACTTTTACGCATGTTTTACCTCTCGACAGATAGATTCGCTCCGAACGATTCGAATCCGTACGGACATCGCATTTCAGCGTTGCGTTTAAAATTGCGAGTGATTAAGTGATTTCGCGGAAACGTGACGAGCGCGCGATGTGTATTACCGCGTTCTTGCGACACGACAGTTTCGGCGCATCGTCGCGCTAATTGCGATCTCTCAACCAGAAATTTGGTCTCATTGCGCTCTTTAGATCTTTTTTTCTTCTTGAGAAAAGGATGAACTAAGAAAACTAATAAAATATTACAATTTAAGCAATTGAAGAGGAAACGGGAGAAAAATTGAAATATAAAACGCTTCTTAAAACGTGTATAAACCTACTATTCTAACGTTTAAACAAAGTGTAGAATTTTGAAATATTGTACTTGTTTAAAAGAAAAGTAAGAGGGAAGATAAATATAACAATTACTGACAAACTCGACGATGGTATGAAAGAGAAAAAGAAAAATTGAAAAAATTGTCTGTGATTATCAGTCATAATAATCTTTAGGTCGACATATTTTTTAGAGAATATTTTTTAGGAAATTACAAAATTTATGATATATCCCTATTATTGATATGATATTGGATCAGACACGTGCTATACGCATAATAATATTAAAAGTGAAATTGAAAAAAAAATGAATGATGAACTGTAAAAGTTGCAAACTGTTTAAATAGAGTTACAAATAGTTGAGATTCGATGGCTGTTGTAAAATATTCAGTGTTTGGACAAATAATTATTAAAAAACTATTTATAACTAATATCGAAGTACGATAATATTATCGCATATTACAGTAGCGTTTTTATCCCTTCTTGCGTTTGCATATTTATGACGGATATAGGTTGTAGAGAGAGAGAGAGAGAGAGAGAGAGAGAAGAATTTCGGTAAATGAGGCCCGACCATGGAAACCTGACTCGCGATTAAATGAATGCGATTAATTGAACGAACGAGGAACGATATTATGAAAACGAAGGAATGGGGGGATGACGATAACGGGACGGACAGGGGGCATTTGCCACACGTTTTTTGCGTGTAAATTGTCGTTATCAATCCATCTACTTATCGTAGAAAACTTATGAAGTTTAATCGTAATATCTACATTAACCAGAAAAGGTATGCGTACCGCATAGAAAAAGAACACATAGCTGCTTTCATCACAAGACACGTACTCGTACATACACACACACAAAACACACAGATATGCCCATGTTTTGTAATTAAATGTTTTGTTAGTATATATTATACGAGAAAATTAACAAAATAAAAACAGAAGTGGAAATATGAGAGAAACATGTGTGTGTTGTACATTTTGCCATACGCGATGTATTCCTCTCTTTTGTGTAATAGTAATTTGTGTGTGTCTATGTGTGGTAGACGGCATCGTGTGTACGGCATGATTATAGACTGATGCCTTGATATATCGTCCTCAAATACCGAGTTCGCATAAATTAAAAAAACATGAAAACATACATCATGCGAAACGTCAATTTCTCTTTAACGTAGATCTTAATTTAATTCTCAGAATTTAACTCAAATCGAGGAAAATTGTATATAGTTAGAATCACTTGATACTTAATTTATTATATTGAGGCTTCTTGGTATTCACGTTACGGCAAACTTTTTCGCTGTGTACGTTTCTTTTAATGTATGCATATATATATTTTTTTAAAATTATTTTACACGAGGTTATTTTGTGCTTTAATTGGAATTCTTGAAATTAAAAATGAAATTGTCAAAAAAGTATATTGGAATTCGGATTAGATATAATCGTAACAGGAGAGGCCGGTGATCCGGAAGACTTCTGTGTAACAAAAGCAAACGATATAGAAAGACAATTCTGTCTGTGTCAACGTTTATTTTACAAAAGACTTGAGGATTGAACCTTTTGTGCGGCAAGGCACGCGGCGGAACGAGTAATAATAGAAACGCGGTGCTACACCGTCTCATATAATTACGGGAACGTGTGAAATCCGCGAATTGCCACCAAGGAGCATCCCTTTCGCGTGCAGAAACGCATTTTCTTCGATCACCTTCCTTGATTATTGCGGCAACTCGCCTTGACAAAATCGCACGAGCATATGCAGCCAGGAGGGAACTCGCCAGTTCGTGTATCTCGATTAATCTCATCAGTCTAGTTTCTACCGAAGCATTAATTTGCATCTAATGCGGTGAAGAACCAAAAGGATTCTGCACACTTCTTAATAAAGAAACCGGTTTCTCTATCAACTTGCTTAAATTTTTTATATGTTGTTTTTGATAAGTTGGTTTTGATGTTGATGAAACATTTTAATGGATGATCTCAGAAAAGCTCAATTTTACAGTTATTAATTAATTATGACTTGGATATAATAGTAAGGATCATTAAAAATCGTTAGTCTATCTCTTTTATAGATTATAGGTTTTTTTAGGTTTTGCTTTGTCAGGAAGGTTGCAAAGCTGGAAGGTTGCAGAAAGAACCTAAAAAAAATACGAAAAAAGTTAATAATCTTATATAGAAAAAGAACATGATTTCTGTAAAATACATAATTTTGAGCAATTTAGGGCTAACCGTAAAAGTTGAGCTTTTTTGAGATCATACCTATTTTGATCAGCATCTTAAAAGCAACCACGTATCAAAAATTTAACTAATTTGACAGAAATCGGTTTCTTCATAAGAAGTGTGCGGGGAATGCGTTTGATTGCGTTCATTTCACTCCCGCTTCGAGCGATCCGAAGGCCTCTATTTCCAATGAAAACAGCATTCTGCAACCGAATTATGGACTTCGATAGAAACTAGGACCGGAATCCATAGTCCGGTCTTAATCTCAAGCAATGTCTTAAAATGCTAATAGGGCTCTCTGATTGGTTCATGCGCTAGCTTAATGCGTCGTCTACAATACACGGAATAAGAAGTAAGAGTAAGAAATTGACCAATCACAGTCGAACATGAGAAGAATAATCGACTGTGATTGGTCAATTTCTTACTCTTACTTCTTATTCCGTGTATTGTAGACGACGCATAAGACCATCTCGAATCTTGAGCAACATTTACCACGGATCTACAATAGGTGTTTTAAGCCTTAAATCGTAAGAAATTGCCAATCACAGTCGAATTCGAGGAGAATAATCGACTAGGATTCGTCCATTTCTTACTCTGGATCTACAATAGGTGTTTTAAGCCTTAAATCGTAAGAAATTGCCAATCACAGTCGAATTTGAGGAGAATAATCGACTATGATTCATCCATTTCTTATGGCTTAAGGCTAAAAACTCTATTGTAGATCCGGGGTTATGGCTTAAGACTTAAAACTCTATTGTAGATCCGGGGTCATGAATTTCGTCCTAAATCAATGGGTGCGTTCAGCAGAACGTTTGTTTTGCAACTGTTGGAAGTTTCCTTCGCGCTAATTGGATCATACTTTTAGATCTAGAAGAATGATCCTATCTCAGCAGACAATTATAAAACGGTTGCAAAACTGTTGAGTCTGCTGAACGCAGCCATTGTCAAATATCGCCAGGCACACACACAGTTAATGAGTGGTATTTATATTCTATTCTTATTTTAAGACCGTTTTAAGTAACGTCTTAAAATGTTAATACAGCCTTCTGATTAGTTCATGACACCTTAAGACTGTACTTAAGGCGATCTTAAATATAAAAATGGATTATGGCCGGAATCCATAGGCCGGTATTCATAGTCAGATCTTAAATTTAAGATTGTCTTAAGTTCAGCCTTGAGGTATCATGAACCAATCAGAGAGCCGCATTAGCATTTTAAGACATTACTTAAGACGGTCTTGAAATAAGAACCGACTATGAATACCGGCCATAGTCCGATCTTAAGCCCAGTGTCCACGATGCTAGAAATCCGTCCGAGATCTCGGATGAAGAAAGAATTGACCAATCGCATTGATCATGTGACTAAATTGTTTAAATGTAATTGGTTAATTCTTTCTCTCTCCGAGATCTCGGACCAATTTCTAGCATCGTGGACACAAGGCTTTAATCTCAATCAATGTCTTAAGATGCTAATACGGTTCTCTGATTGGTTCATGCGCTAGCTTAAAACCATCTCGAATCTTGAGCAACGTCTATGGATTCCGCTCTTATGAATATCGGCTAATCTTATCTCGCTTTGTCTCATTCTCACTAGAGACCCTCTAATCAGAGTCGCGACATCAAACATACAGTTTTAATTGGTCTGCCATTTTTCAGCAATTCCCGCCTATGTTCGAATGTCTATATTGTAGTTGGGCGATGCGCATATCGATACGGTAAAATTCATTCACAAATTAATCTATTTTGCGAAAAATCAATTTTTCCAACTAAGATAGTGCCATTTTAAACCGATACCTTTACAAAGAATCGTTTCTTTTTTTAACAAGGTTAAAAATTTCGTCTACTTCGAATCGATATAATCGTTTTTTTTTTAGTGTTCTAATACGAATATCGCCCATTCAAAGTATATACATTTGTATTATTGTTAAAATCAAACAAAACAAGATTATAAACATTTTAAAGTTATTACTAGATAGATTTCTCACATTATATGTGGAAGCAATGTTGCTTACTAAAAAAATTATGTTTTATCTTTTTTTTTATCAGTTATGCATTTTTATCAGAGATATGCATTTTTCGTTGGTGTTCAATTTTTTCCAACATTTGTTGCCCATAATGTTTGACGTTTAGCATCACGCGGAAATATTTTCATTAAATAGCCTTTCGCTGCAGAATTAGTGCAAAATGGGGCTGCACACCCAACCATTTTGTAATTATTTTTATTAATCTTCTAATAAGTCGTACTAATCTTCAAGAGCAGAAAGATGTATCACGATTCACGAGAAACTATCAAGGTTAGAAAGAGACCCTTAAGGGAAAAAGACCGTGAAGAGAGTCTCTAACTAGAGTCTCTTTTTCTTGTGTCGCGACTTTGATTAGTGGGTCTCTAATCAAAAAAAGGGCGGAATCCATAGACAGTGCTCAAGATTCGAGTTGGTCTTAAGCTAGCGCATAAACCAATCAGAGGCCGGTATATATTCATAGTCGGTTTTTATTTCAAAACCATCTTAAATAATGTCTTAATATGCTAACGCGGCTCTCTGATTGGTTCATAATACCTCAAGGCTGAACTTAGGACGATCTTGAATATAAGAACTGACTATGAATACCGGCCAGAGAGTAGTATTAGCATCTTAAGACATTATTTGAAATTAAGACCGGACTATGGATTCCGGCCTAATTTCTTACGAGCGAGGGGCGATGAGCGGCGCGGAAGCGCACTATGCGCAAAATGTTGCTTAGATAATTAAAAATTATCTAGATATAGATAAGATAAATCACACAAAAATGTATCTTAGATAAGATGAAGATGATTAACTTTACATTAATCTAGATAAAAGATGAAATTAAAAAATTTTTATCTAGATAATTTTTAAGATAATTTTGTTTTTAATTAACTATTAGGCAGTAAAACGATTTATGCCCAATTTCTTCACTTCTAATAACTATCCAAGAGACATCTACCAGAATACAATGGCGATACCTCCTGGATAAAGTTATCCGCAACTTATCTGGAAGTGAAGAAATTGGGCATTAGGTTACAAAAAATGTATTTATATTTTCATTAATCTTTATTTTTTATGAATAAAAGTTTTTTAAATATTTCGTCTAATAAACGGTTTCTATGGAATTGATATTTGTTGTTCACAAATAAAAAGGCGCTCTACTGGCGCTAATGGCAATAATGTGTCATACTTAAAAAAAATTTGTTTAACGTGTGGATACAAATTAAGAATATCTAATTCCTTAGATTTATCTTCTAAATATGAAAGTACCTCAATGTCACTTTGAATTATGACTGATGTCATACTAATTCCAGTTTCATCTATATCATAAAAAAATTCTCATCATTACTACCACTAGAAGTTATATAGAAATTTTTTTACAATACTCTTCTACAATCTTAGTTAATTTGAAAAAGATTTTATCTAAGATAAGATAAAGATAATCTATATTCTTAATAATCTAGATAAAGATAGGATAAAGCCATTTCTTCATCTATATAATTATCTAGATAATTTTATCTAGATATCGGAAAACACTGACTATGCGTTTCGAGCGACGCACTGTCGTTGCAGATCGCGTTTTATGCGTGTGAAAATTTTTCGCCTTGCACATGTCCGTACGTAGGTACAATTACGTACACGCGTACGGTCGAGTCACGCGCAAACGGCC